CCAGCAAGCCTCCTGCCCAAAGGCAATCAGTTATCTCGCTCCATGGGCCAGCAAGTCCACTGCTCTGTCTCGTGCCGGTCTTTTGGTTCTGCTGCTTCTGCTGCTACCGTCTGCCTGCAGGTGTCTCTGTCATCTCACTGCCAAGGAGGTTCAACGTAGAGATCTCGGGTCCAAGGACGTGGTCCACTCCACCTCCTGTTCTTCTCTCTTGATGGCAGTAAGATCTCCCCTTTCTAGCTCTGGAATGGCTCATTTGAAGCCTAGCCAAATGGCAAAACTGACCAATCCTCACTTAGGGTTCCATACACCTAATTTAAACAGTCCCACCCCCACAAGGATGCCATGTACCTTATCTACATTACTAACAAGCTATCCAATCCCCTTGGTAGGCCAAAAAACACCTCACATTTATTTGCATAGTTCCACTCAGTCATCTGGTGGGAGTCACAAAGAACATGGCTAGAATAGGGCCATACTAAGTAATTTGGTGCACCATATTATGCAACTATAAACAATAATTAAGAGCCCACAAAACATAAACATCGATGACTCTGGAGAACATTACGCCAAATGAATTAAGTCAATCACAAAACGACAAATAGTATATGATCTCATTTCTATAAAAAGTAAAGAACAGGTTTAAACACAGAAAGTAAAAGTCTTTGATGGCTACCAAGGATAGGAAGGGGAATCACTTCCTATATAATTAGACACCTGTTATTTCTGGTCACAGGGAAAAATACACAACATAGAGGAAGTCAGCACAACTTACTCAATGTAAATGAAGACACTGAGAAGTACACAAAAATAAAGGATAATCATGGCAAATTATATACAAGTTTGCAACAACAGTAATAACATCCAAAAAGATATGTGCAGTTAAAGTGGTAAAAATATATGCTAAATGTGTATAGGAAGGTATATGAGAGTCTATGCATATGCATGTACAAGTATGTCTGTAGGCTTAAGTATGTATATGTGTGGGTGTACTACAAATACATTCATGTATATGATAAAAATACATGAAGGGCAGAGTTACCGAGACCTACTAGAAATATCTAAATACCTTGCAGGGCTGGTTTACTGGGTTAAGAAGCTTGGGACCATAGTTTTGTAGTCAGCTGGTGTAAAATAGTTCATAAAGATAATGTTGCATCTTAGCTTGGTGAGTAGTGTCTGGAGTCTTAAAAGCTTGTGAGTAGCCACCTAAAAAAACTATTGTTCCTTAAAAAATGTGCAGAAAACATGAACAGACACTTCACTAAAGAAGATATTCAGGCAGTCAACAAATGCATGAAGAAATTTTTGTGATCATTAACTATTAGAGAGATACAATCAAAACCACAAGATACCATCTCATCCCAACACTAATGGCAAAGTTCAACCAGACAGAAAATAACAAACACTGTTAAGGATGTGGGGAGATTGGGACTCTCATACACTGTTGATGGGACTATCAAATGATACAACCACTGTGCAAATTGATAGATGATTCTTTAAAAAGTGAATTAGAAATACCATTTGATCCAGCAATCCCATTACTAGGTATATATCCTAATGAAGTGAGAGCCAGGACACAACCAGATACATGCACATCCATGTTCATCACAGCACTATTCACAACAGCAGAGAGATGAAAACAACCTAAGTGTCCATCAACCGAGGAATGAATAACAAAACTGTGGTACAAACATGCAATGGAATACTACACAACACTCAATAATAATTTAGAATCTGCGAGAGACTGCATAACATGGATGAACTTGGAGGATATTATGCTGCGTGAAGTAAGTCAACCACAGAAGTACAAAAAGTGTTAGTCCACTATTGTAAAAAGTCAAGGATACATGGCAGGGAACTTTCTTTGTTGATTACCAGGGATGGGAGGGGATGGGTTGGAAATTCCTAGATATGTTTAAAAATACGTGTGTGTGTGTGTGCGCTTATGTATATGTATATATGGATATAAAACCAAAGATTACTGGTGGTTACCAAGAGTAGGAGGGAGGGGAAAAGGGGAAGCTTTTGTTTGTGAGGCACTGAGTTTATGCTAATGTTGGTGGACTATTTTGGAAAAGTGTAACAATAACGGTGGCACAACATGAAAAATGTTATCAATGTCCCTGAGCTGTAAATAGGGATGTTGTTATGTTAGTGAATGTTTTGTTGTGTATGTTTTCACCACAATGAAAGTTTTAAAATATATAAATACATATTGTTCTTTATATTCTGACATAAAAGAGAATGAAGGAAACCAAAGACTCAAAGAAGAAACTAGTACATAGTACTAGTACATGGCCTTTCTAAGCCTGGACCAGAAGAAATAGATAACTGATTACCATCAGCTACCATTCTGATGAGGGACACAACAGAAGTCCCAGAGAGAATAGGAGAAAAATGTACAGCAATACTGAAATTCCTAAAGAAAATGAGACTTATTAGACTGATAATGACAAAACAAACCCCCAAAACTACTGCCCTAACATACCCTTTAAACTTGGAACTGAATCTACCTGGAGTTTACTTTCACCCAAATAACAGACTGGCTCATAAAATAAACAAAATGACCTTTGAGGAATATGCTCCCTTAAACAATCAACAGTATGAGACCAAACTGTCAACCTTTACCCAAAAGCCTAAGTGAGAAGGCAAGGAGGAATGGGGAAGCTAGATAAATGAAAACAGAATAACAGAAAGGAAATAATGAGAGTGATGATACATTGTGAAAACTGTAACCAATGCCACAGAACAACTTGTACAAAAACTGTTGAATGACAACTAAATTTGCTAAGTAAAATTTCATTTATAACAACAACAAAAAAAGCCCTATACCAACATTAAACCAATGGCACATAACAGAATCTTCATTAAACCAATGAATGAGAAAAGAATGCCTATTATCATTGCTTCTACCCATCACATGTAAGAAATACAAAATATAAGGATTTGAAAATACACATATTTTTTAATGTCCCTGATACAGACTGTCCACAGGAATTGTTTTATAGTTTTAAAACTTCATAAGTGACATCATACTATGTGTATTCTCTAAAGTTTGTTATTTTTTAATATATTTGTAGAATTAAAATTGACAGACTGCCCTCTGTCTCAATATATTATACTAATTCATAGCAACTGTTAGGCAACTACACAGAAAAAGACCAAAGAGATTCTTCAGACCCATTATTAGAACTAACAAGAGAGTTTAGTATAGTACCTAGGTGGCCACAAGAACAATAAACATAAATGATACAAATGTACATGACAGCAAAAGTTATAAATATTTTAAGATGCTATTTATGCAAGCAATAAAATAAATACTTAAAAAAATAATGTAAAAGGCAAGAAAGAAAAAGGCAGGCTGAAGGAGTATTTTGGGTTACAGGAAACTAGAAAGATGTAACCACTAAATGCAATGCTGGATCCTGTTCACCTGTGTTTTACTGACTATGCAAAGGTATTTGCATGGATAATAAAAAATTATGGATAATTTATTGCAAAGAATGAGAATTCCAGACACTTAACTATACTCATGAACAACTTGTACACAGACCAAGAGGGAATGCTTCATACAGAACAAGGGGATATTACATGGTTTAAAATCAGGAAAGGTAGGATCAGGATTGTGTCCTTTCACCATATTTATTCAATCAGTATATGAACCAAAAGTCCAAGAAACTGGACTATATAAAGAAAAACATGGCATCAGGATTGGAAAAGACTCATTAACAACCTGTGACATGCTGAAAGCAAAGAGGACTTAAAGCACTTACTGATGAAGACTATAGCCTTCAGCATGTGTTACACCTCAGCATAAAGAAAATAAAAATCCTGAAAACTGGACCAATCAGAAACATCATGATAAACAGAAAAAAGATGGAAGTTGTCAAGGATTTCATTTACTTGGATCCACAACCAACTGCACGGAAGCAGATCAAATGATGTATTGCATTGGGCAAACTGCTGCAAAAGACCTCTCTGAAGTGTTAAAGGGGAAAGACGTCACTTTGAAGACTAAGGTGTACCTTACCCAATCCCTGGTATTTTCAATTGCCTCCTATGTATATGAAAAATGGACAATGAGTAAGGAAGACTAAAAAACAACTGATACATTTGAATTATGGTATTGGTGAAGAATGCTGAATATATCATAGACTGCCAGAAAAATGAACAAATCTGTCCTCAAAGACGTACAGTCAGAAGAATGTTCTTTAAAAGCAAGGATGGCCAGACTTTGTTTCTCATACACTGGTGATGCTATCAGGAAAGAACAGTCCCCGGAGAAGAATTATCATACTTCAAGAAGAGGATCAGCAAAAAAAGGAAGACCATCAACCACATGGAAAGATACAGTGGCTCCAATGATGGGCTCATGCATGTCAACAATTATGAAGATGGCGCAAGATTCACGCAGTATTTCGTTCTACTGGGCACTGGATCACTATGAGTAAGAACCAACTCGACAAAACCTAACATATTTTCAATGCTAAATTTTACTGATTTTGATAACTCTCTCACAGTTATATAAGAAAAATTCTAAAAATATACAGTATGATCCTAATTTGGCTTTAGAACATACAGGGGATAATAAAAAAGGGCTGGGGAAAAAATAGTGACAACTTATCTATTAGTGATTTCAATGAACTTTTTAAATATATTTTTATTCATCAGATTTTTCATAAATTTAAATAATGAAAAAGTTATTCTGTATTATTAACATTAATTTTTCCAGTTTAAGCACACAGGCACACATTCATACTCACAAACAAAGCTCATATATAAAAGTTTTAAAAATCTTTCCCTCATGCAAATCAGCTATACAGAAAATTTCATGTCTTGTATGTACATACGTGTAGCTGCTGAGTATTTATTTTGCATTAAGTACCCAGATTTCTAAAAACATAAACTGTTAAAACATGCAGAGACTCAGTTTCTGGCTGAACTTCATAATCCAAATAATTCTACACAAATGCAAGCATACATGGTCTTACTTCTCTTACCACATTAAAATAATGTTTCATCTTGGTGCCTTTTGTAATATCCCATATAAATATGCTGCCATCATGTCCCGCAGACAACATAATTCTGGAATCAAAAGGATGTGTCTCCAAAACAAACACTTCATCAGCATGTCCCTTTATTCAACAAAGTCATATAGTTAAGAAGAGTTTACAAATTTAAAAAAAAATCCCACAGTGTCATAGTTCTTTAAAAAACAAAACCTCACCAGTTGCCATAAAGTCAATTCTGAGTGATGACAACCCCCCCTTGTGTATCAGAGCAGAACTGTATTCCACAGAGTTCAGTGGCTGATTTTTCTAAAATAGATCACAAGGCCTTTCTTCGAAGGCAACTCTGGGTAGATGTAAACCGCCAATCTTTTAGTTAGCAGCCCAGTGGTAGTTCATTAAAAACCAAAACCAAACTCAATGCGTGGTGTCGTATCCTACTCACAGCAACCCGGTCCTTGGGTTTCCAAGGCACTATCGCTACAGAAGTAGATTGCCCAATTTTCCTTCTGAGGAATGGCTGGTGGGTTTGAACTACCAGGCTTCTGGTTAGCAGTCGAATGTCTTAGGTACTACGCCACCAAAACTCCCACTAGTTCATTAGGTTTCATAAAAATGAATTAATTACGGTAATTCATACATTAATATATACACAAATATCTAATCATAATTAAATCATAATTTAAATGAAAGAAACAATGTCTTTAGTGTATTAATATTACAGACCTAAAAAAGATTAGCTCACAGACATGATATGGCATACTGTATTAAAAACTACCTACCAATAAATTATGAAGCAGTTGTCCAGTATAAGAATTCCATGCTTTGAGGACATGATCATTCACAGCTGTAACAACAATGCTGTCATTCTGATTCCAAGCGATCATTGTTACTTTGGGTTTCATAAATTTTTCTTCTTCTAAAGATAAGTCCCTAACAAAAAAACACAAAACTACAAAATGTATTCATTCATCGTCTATTAGGCTATACAATATATACATCAAGAATACAAAAATAACAAATTCAGTTCATTCAGGTGTCCATCTTACCAACTCTAATTCAGGTATACATCTTACCAACTCTACAGAGTTCTTCACATCTGACCCATTACAGATGACCTACAAACAAATGTGGGCAAAAGCCAAGTGGGAAGGGGGACCACTTAGAATTAGTTGTATAAGACCAGATCTTAGTTACTGGTTCTACTCATGATATAAAAGCTTTTTCTCCCTATCCCTTTCCTGTTACTCCCACATCCTTGACCCCAAACTCTACCTCTAATACTTATTTCAAATAAGAAAGAAATAAATGAAGAGAACAAAAAAATTTTTTAAGATAAAAAATATAACCTCACTATTAAGCAAAATGTTGGATGTCAGACACAAAGACACACATTTTGTTGAACTGTAAATTAGACTGTACTCATCTCTTTATACATTCCTACAGACATTGCTATGGTCTTGGATACATATATCCACACTGTTCTGTAGACTTTATGAAAGTGATATAATATGTTACTCAGTCTACTGTAGTAATATACAGTGGGAGGGTAGGGAGAGGGCAGTTGCTTCTAAAACCATAAAACACTTTCTACAAATTTTAAGCACTGACTATATTGTATTTAATACAAGGAAAAAAACTTTTAAGAGTACAGAATAAGTGTTGTAATACAACTATGTATGGAGACTCAAAGGAACACGAAAGAAAGAATAATTGTAACTAGATGTCAGGAGAAAGAGTCATGTAAGACGTGAAACTGAATAACGCCTAAGACTACACTCTTCATTTGAAACTGAAAATGCTTTCCCTGTCACTAAGAGAAATGTTGCATTTCAGCAACTTGATCAACCAAGATGAAAACAATAAAACAAACATATGCACCTACTCTTACCTACAGAAGACTCTGCTTCAGGATTTGAAGTAAAAATATTAATAAGAAAAAAATATTCCCATCATAAAGGAAATTATAGGGAAAATACTGAACATGAAACCAAAATAAGCAGATTTTGATCTCAATCAAGTTTTTACACTGATGTCTCTATTTTGTCTAAAAAAATAATTGTTCATGACTGAATATGATTTCAAATTATCTTCACTTCTATTCCCCTTCATTATTGCAAATAATCAGGGATTCACAATATTCACTTTCACAGTGATGTTTCTGAATATCCAGATGTAACATGTTTAATTAATGGTAAATACTTTTTAAACAAGTTTTATTAATGATAAAATAATGTAACATCATTTATTAAGGGCAAAAAATTAGTTATGAACCAAAGTTCTAGTGTATGTTCTTTCCATGCTCTACCACAGAATAATTCCACAAAAATATTAACATCAAACTAACTCTGAAAATATAATTCTTTGAGCTTTAGCAGAGAATAAAATTCAGTTTCTCTATTACTGAAATAAAGCAGACATGAGTATTTCCTAAAGATTTCCCTTTATCTATGTAGTAACATTCCTCAGAAAAACTGATATGAAAAAATTTTATGTAAACCTCTAACTGCTCAAAAAAATAATCTACATTATTTTTAAAAAAAAAAAAAAAGGTATAAAGCTATACTGCTAGTATTTTAGATAGTAATATTAACTTAAAAGTGTACCTAAAGTAATATGGTATCTTTCAATGGATAAAAGAAGACTGGTATGTCAACTCTAGGCCGATCAATGTCCTAGAAGATGTCATTTCATTTAAAATTCTTAATAATGCTTAATGTCAGTAGTCTCATTTCCCAGATGATGAAACAGACTAATATTAGCCAATATTCTCAAAATTACATGGCTTTAAACAGTATAAACAGTATGAGCCAACGTATGACTATAAAATACATATTCTTTCCACTATCTCCCATATGCATAATCAAAAAAATTGTTTTTCAAATCTGTATTATTTATCTTGGGAAGGGTCCCACTTACATAAAAGTTGCTCAAAACATGCCTGGAACTTTTGGGGAAGAGGGAAACAACTGCCTTTAAAGGTTAGAAGTCAAAATTTTACCACACATTATTCCTACTGGAGCCCAATTTGTTTTATTCTTAACAAAGTGGACTTTCCTTACTTTATTCATGAGACTTAGATCCAAGAGATCTTTTAAAACTTTCCATATTTGGATGACCTTGGAAGACGTTATGCTGAGTAAAATAAGTCAGTCACAGAAGGACAAATATTGTATTACTTCATTATTGCAAAAAGTCAAGGAAAGGCTTATATATGGAAGGAAACTCTCTGTTGGTTACCAGGGGTGGAAGGGGAGGGGAGGAAACACTGAGAAAATTTTTTTAAAATTACGAGGAAAAAAAAAAATTTCCGTACTTAACATATCCAAGTTATATCTGTAATGTTAAATGCAATGGGTTTTCAATGCAATTCCTACAAATCAGTCAACGCTTTCTTTGAGCAATTGTAGAGTATGCACATTTTTTTCTTTCCTCTGTAAATATAAGGATAATTTTTTCTTCAGATGTAAGAGATTTAAGTATCTATTAATCAGATACGCAGTAGGTAGCCATTCACTTAGACCATTAAAAAAAAAAAAGGTTCATTATTAGTCAAGTTCTTTGTAAACAATGGGTAGTTCCAATGACCTAAACAAAACAAACAATGAAAAGAAAGGAATATATTATACCAAATGTCTACAATGCACCTACTCACAACAAAGCATCTTAACTTACCCTGACATTCTGGTAGCCATATCCAGTAAAATGCTTCTCCATTCTAACTGCTCAAATCTCCAAATCCGTGCTGTTCCATCTCTGCTACCACTTAAGAACCTTAAAATATTCAGAGAAAGATCTACATACTCTGCCACCAAGGAAAATAGTCACAATCACAAGTAAAAATTTCTAGATGGAGTTGTGCTGAGTTCAGGTGAAACAGCAAACCACAATTCAAAAGGTAAGTATTTAGGGCATATCTGGATGGAAAATGATAATTTGGTGCCCCAAGGAGGCGTAGTGCCTAAGGCATTTGACTGCTAACCAGAAGGCTGGCACTTCAAATCCACCAGCCACTCCATGGAAGGAAGATTGGGAAATCTACCTCAGTAGAGATACCGCCTTGGAAACCCAAAGAGGGGTTGCTATGAGTCGAACTGACTGGACAACAGTGACTTTGGTTTGCTTTTTATAAGGCAAAAAATATTTCAAATTCACTTAACAGCTTATGAAACAAACTGAGTTGAGAAGACAATGTACAAGAACTACCTGACAAGGGAAAATAATTGGAAGAAGAATAAAGGCACTGAAAAATTAGTAAGAGCAAAATCTCCATGTTAAGCATATTACTCTAAGCCCAATTTATTTCCTGGGGTGATTGTGTTAGAATAAATCATTCTTATACTGCATTAAGGTGCTAAAAAACTTCAGTTTACGAAAGTAAGACACCTGAGAGGCATCAGGCCACAAAGGAAAATATGTATTTTAACTGACGGCAATTTAGTTGCAGGGTATTAGGAAAAAAATATTTTTTTAACTACAGAAAAGGAATTTCATTATTCTTATATATAACTTATGAGTAAATCAAACATGTAGTCCACAGTGAATTGCAGACAACTACTTCTGGTCTTAGGAGTCTGCAAAAACTATAATCCTAAAAACTTAACATTTCATTTGTTCCTCCCCTACTCCAGACATTTTCATTCAACTGACATATTTACTTAAAAGTACTTACATTGTACAGGTGAAGTATTACCTCTACTAATATGCAACCTATTAGATTCGCCTAAACATACACATACAAATAAACACATACTTACCTGTCACCATTGTTACAAAACTGGATGCTATCAACTTTATCCTAAAGAGAGAGATAGGTACACAATCACAAAAGCAGTCACCTACAGAGTTTGTAAATTAACAACAAACAAACAAAAACCACTTCAGCTTAGTGTTGAAGCAAGAAGCATTTGTTTTGTAAGAGCCATGACAAGAACAGATATATGCACACCAATATTCACCACAACACTACTTATAATAGCCAAAAGATGGAAACAACCTAGGTGTCCATCAACTGAGGAATGGATAACCAAACTATGGTACATACACACAATGGAATACTATGCAATGC